CCCAGCATGGATTGCAAGCTTTGCTTATAGGGAAGGTGCTTGCTATTTCTACATGTTACGATGTTAGGGTTTGCCAGTCTCCTGGTGGGTAGAAACAAACAACCATGATGTATTGTGCCAAAAAAAAAGAAGTCTTCACAGACAACAGACAAAACAAAGGTGCAAGTGAGCTGGAGAAAAACCTCTGTAGGTTGGCACCCGAGCCAAGGGAAAAGGTCCATGCGAAGATGCCCCCCTCAAGGATTCCAGATCCATAGTTTGTGGTTCAGATGTAATGATAAATCATGAGCCATACTAAAGCAACAAAGCTGATGGATGAAATCTTACTGGAAGGCCAGCGATGAATGCCCCTCCTTTCCAAAGCCAGTAAGAAGGCCCATGAGAGCCAACATAGTGTAGTGGTTAAGTGCGCGGACTCTAATCTGGGAGAACCAGGTTTGATCCCCCACTCCTCCACTTGCACCTGCTGGATGACCTTGGGCAAGCCATAGTTCTGTCAGAGTTGTCCTTGAAAAAGAGCGGTTTCTGTCAGAGCTCTCTCAGCCCCACCTGCCTCACAGGGTGTCTGTTGTAGGGAGGGGAAGGGAAAGGAGATTGTAAGCCACTCTGAGACTCCGAGTGAAGGGCGGGGTATAAATCCAATCTCCTCTTCTCCTCCTCCTTCTCCCGCTTTGCCCCTAGATCTTTCATGAACATCAACGGCTACGTGAAAGAAACACGCTCAGGCCCCGAATTCAGCATCGGAGAACGGGTGAGTGGCTGAGGTAAAGGGCAGTGTCGCGAGCTCCCCGAACACACGTCAGTCACAGAGTCTGCCTCCTGCTTCTTGTCAGGAGAATGGACAAAAGAAGAACTCTAAAGGCCTTCCCCCCCGAATTTAAAAAATAATAAGGGATTTTTCCTTTACGAGTGGCCGAGCGAAAGTTGCGCCAGGCGTGACGGGCAGGGGCAGACTCCCAGAGCAGAGAGACTGGACCGACCACAATCCAGCAAGCGTTTTAACATTTCTGGCCACACTGACCGTTCCACATAAGCAGTAGCACTTTATGACAGATGGCCGCCACATTCTAATTTTAATCTGTATTTTGATATTGTATTGTATTGTTCTCCCTCTGAGGTGGAGGACATCTTGTATGAGGTGGAGGACATCTTGTATGGGTGATTCCCATCCATCTTCAGGGAGGCAGGACTAAGTTCGACTTCTTTCTGTTTCCTGTGGCTCAGTTTCCCGGTGACACTTTCCGGAAGGCTGTTAACCTCGGGCCAAACGCACATCCCAGTGACGGGCCCGGGAGGGACTTTAAGTTTGTTAGGGGTTTCAGGTAAAAGCAGAGATAATAAACGCAGCAGGGCACTTGTACGAGCTTTTAAACAAAGGAACTTTACTTCACTAACGAGCTGGCCCGTAGCTAACATGGGGCCCATGGGGGCCTGGCCCCCTAGTGTTTCTTCGGGGGGGCCCTCCCTCCCGGGCTGCCCCCAAAGTGCTCCAACTTACCACCTGCACTGTACTTCCATTTAATTAGCTGGCGGACCCCCCCAGGCCCCCTCCAAAACAATTCCCTAGCTATGGGGCTGCTAACGAGGGAAGGGTCACTGGGAAAGACTAGAAACAACACAAAGGATTGACATCCTCTCTGACTTCACTAATCTACATGTTGTCTCTCTGCAATCTAAAACGGGATGTTAGAGACAAAGAGGCATAAACTTTTCTCAGTCTCTCCACCCAGGACATCTTCTGATCTATCAATTACCCAATTGGAGAAACCCAACCCTAACTAATTATGTATTTAAACACATAAGGACATAACATAAGAACATAAGAGAAGCCAATGTTGGATCACCCAGTGGACCATCCAGTCCAACACTCTGTGTCACACAGTGGCCAGAAATACCAGGAGGCATCAGGAGGTCCACCAGTGGGGCCAGGACATTAGAAGCCCTTTCACCGTTGCCCCCCCCCCCCCCGCACAACCAAAAAAGCATCACTTGCCCCAGATGGAGAGTTCCTATTTATACCTTGTGGCTAAGAGCCACTGATGGACTTCTGCTCCATATAAGAACATAAGAGAAGCCAATGTTGGATCAGGCCAGAGGCCCATCCAGTCCAACACTCTGTGTCGCACAGTGGCCAAAAATACCAGGTGCCATCAGGAGGTCCAGCAGTGGGGCCAGGATGCTAGAAGCCCTCCCACTGTTGCCCCCCCCCAAGCACCAAGAACACAGAGCATCCCTTGCCCCAGACCGAGAGTTCCTATCTATACCTTGTGGCTTGTTTTCTGTCGGTGAAGAAGCGTTATTTTCCTCTCACGAG